AATACATTTTATTTCTGCCCTTTGTCCTTTAATCCCACGAAGAAAGACTGGATGAGATGGTGATCAGTCTTTCATTCCTAATGTACCAGCACAGGTCTAATTAAAGCACTATGAATATTCTGTTACACGCTACTGCTTCTGATATTTTAAGGCACGTTTATCTAAAAAACACGTTTCAGCAACAATGAAATTTACAAAAAAAACATTTATAAAAACAGCGATCTAAGAGCAAAGCGAGAGAGAACATAAACTCATGTTTACAATGTTTACTGATGGAATAAATCAAGAGGGTAGTCATTTTCTTATAGATTTCTATGGGACCAGAGTTGCCGCCCCCTGGTGGTCAGCACAGAGAAAGCTCGTCTGATATTTAAATCGCAACAAACCATGAAAACTCACCTTGATACATTTTGAATTCTCTTGTTTTTAAGTCATAAACACATAATAATCAAAGGATAGTTTTTCCTCCTCACTCGCCTCTCAGTTCTTCCGTAGTCCCGTCTTCTAACTGCCTGTCTAGAGGTCGTCACCATAGCAACGCGTGTGTGTGTGACGCTCTCAGGTCCAGGTGCTGTCCGGCCCCAGCTGCTCCAACCTGATCGGCGTCCTGGTGACCAACCTGCTGAGCGAGCAGAGCAGCCTGCAGCCCGAGCTGGCGGCTCACCGCCCGGAGCTCAGCAAGACCAGCGGCCTGCTGAACGGGGTACGCACGCCGCCACCGGACGCCGCTTCCCGTCGCCTGTCTCAGACCCCCACGGGACTCACTGCCTCTCCCTCTCTGCTCCTCAGGACCTGAGGGCCTTGCTGCTGCTGCTGTCCGTCCAGCCCCCCCAGGCCGTGGACCCGGCCCTCTGCCCGGCCCTGCAGGAGCTGCTGGCTCGCTGCCGCGTGTGCGTCCAGCGCCGCAGCGCCCTGGGAGCTGGAGGCCAAGGACCACAAGGCCAAAGGTAACGCCGCCCGCGTGCACAGAGGGGGCGGGGGGAGAGCGGGGGCTGCACGCAGTGGTGTTTGGGTTAAAAGTAAAAGTAGAAAACGTGGCATAATATTCATATTCATTTTGATGACATCATAGTTTAACCCCTAACCCTGCTTTTCACTGCTAACGGTGTTACGATAACTTTGTGTGTGTGTGTCAGCTGAGGATGAAGGGGCGACCCCGGTGAAGCGGCGGCGGGTGAGCAGTGACGACGACAGAGCCGGCGAGGCAGCGTCGGCGGCGCTCTGCGTGGCCTCCACCTCTTCCTCCTCGGCTTCGTCCCTCCCGCCCTGCTGCGAGCCGAAGGCCGACCACCAGGAGGCGCTGACGCCCGCCAGCACCTCCGACACGGAGACGCGAGACTCCTCCTCGCTGATCGACCCGGGAACCGAGCAGGACCCGCCCTCTCCTGACCCCACCCCCGCCCAACACCTGGACTCCTCCCCGAAAGAGGAGAAAATGGAGGCGTCTTCCTCCTCCTCCTCCTCGTTCTCCTCCTCATCTTCCCTGCTGCAGGAGGCGGGCGAGGGCTTTGCGCAGGGGGAGGAGCCTGAGCCGTTGGGGCACGCGATGGCAGGTGGGGAGGAGGAGCTGCAGGAGGGGAGGAGGGGTGAGGTGACGGTCACCCCTTCAGAGGAGGTGAAGGATGAGAAAGAGGCGGGATCTAAGACCAGCAACATGTCGGCCCCGCCCCTCTCAGAGGACTCTGCCTTCCCATCGGCTTCCGGGCTGGTGGGGGAGGAGCCAGAGGGCTGCAGTGGCCACGCCTCCTCCTCGCAGGCGATCCCAAGCTCCACCCCCCCACCTGACATGCTGGACATGCTGTACAGGACGGTGGAAGCCACCATCGCCATAGTTACCAAACTGTCCGTTAAGGGCCCGCCCTCTTCATGACATCATCAACTCACAGCCGCCATGAGATCTTTAGCAAAAACAATTTTCTTTATTTCTTCCTCTTCAGAAGATCAGAGAATTCTTCTTCTGCTGTTTGTGTGCTGCTGTCCTCCTGCTGATGTTCAGTCGGTTGGTTCTTCAGCTCGCCGTGTCGTTCCGCTCTGTAGACACTCGGACCCCCCGACCCCCCCGACCACTAAAGAAGACGAGCAGAAAAGTCGTACAAGCTATAGCACATTTCTTTCAAAGGGCAAAAAAATAGCATTTTTTTTGTTTTTATTTGTGTGTTTTATACTGATTTGAATTAGTTTTTATTTGTTTGAGGTTTGCTGTAACGGGGAAAGGTTTACAGAACTTTGGTCTCCTCTGTATGTAATTTAATTTTATTGCATTTTTACTGTGTATAAAAATGGTCGTCCTCGGTGCCAGTTTTGTACTTATTGAACAAGGCAAAAGAAAGTTGCCTTGATTTCTTCTGTGGTTTAAATATCCAGAAACTAAGTTTACCTGTAAATTAAGAGAACCACAAGAAACTTGATTCTGTAAAGAATCCTCTAGTCATTGCCTGAAGGTGTATATGAAATCTATATATAAATATATAAATATCTTTATATATATATGAATATATAAAAGCGGTGCTTTATTTGACTGGTTGTAATAAAGCCCCCCCATGTTGGACCAGCTGGAGCTTTTTATTTTCTTTACTGAAGTACATTCCACAATCTACTGTTTACTTTTGCTTCTTCTGCTGTGTTCTGATTTTATTTTAATAGAGAATAAATTAATAAAGGCAGTTTTAATATGAAGAATGATGCGCTGAAGTCGTGCGGAGCTGTGAAGTTCTTTTCTCTTCTTCCTTCAGCGTTTGTCGAACAACAAACGGATGCTTTTAAAATGTTTTCAGGCGCCGGAGACGTACGGGAAGCCGAATGGATCAAAAAGCTTCATGCAACCGTAAGTAAAGCACTATTTCATTATTTAACCGTTGCAGCAGCAGCAGCGCCGACGTTTGATCACTTTTTTCCAACTATGGATTATTGAATTTTTTTATATTTTGTCCCTTCTACTGACTACGGTAAATACTTTGTACTATGATGTGATATTTTACACTTTTTACTTACACATTCTCATTCAATACTGTGACTTTATAAAGATTATTGTATTAACATCCTGTACTATGAATCTTCATGGAATTTAATATATAATTATTTGTATTATATACATATATTAATATATATTACATTACATTTAGCTGACGCTTTTATCCAAAGCGACTTACATTACACTTTAAACTCATGGCTTTTTACATTTTGCCCGGTGAGCACGCATATATATATACGTGTATATACGCATATATATGCGTGTAAACAAAAGCCCTCATAGGAAAGTCCTTAGTGACGTCACGCTCTACTCGTCCAGAGCGGTACCAGGTGGATTTTATCCGGTGGAGTAAATCTCTGATGAGATGGTGATCAGTGTTTTTAAAGGCAATTTATTGCATTACATTTGAATCAAGCACACAAGTAATGTACCAGCACAGGTATAATTAAAGCACTATGAATATTCTGCTACACGCCACTGCCTCTGATATTTATTACAAGTTTATGTATAAAACACATTTCAGCAACAATGAAACAACAAAAAAACATTCATAATAAAAACCAATTCAAGAGAATAAATTGAAATGAAATACGTCCACTTGTTCCCGTCTCCGTCCAGGTGAGTCTCCCTCTGGTTTGACTGCATCTGAAGAAGATCACATGAAGTTATTCCTCAGAAATGGAAGCAGGAAGTTGTTTTGAGTTGCAGCAGACTGACACCTGGCTGACCTTCACACCTGGTCCTCCTGCTCCTCTGGGTCTTCTCTCTGTGCTGCCATGTCTGAGAGGTCCTCACACTCAGGATGAAGGTCCATCTGATGGAGAGACGATGAGAGTCAAAGGCCTCAGAGAAGCAGTTCAGATACAACCGACCCTCGGCTAAGCCCCTCCCCCAACGCGCACTGTACATTCCTACGTTAGCAACCGTAACTAGGGACCAGAGGCCTTTAGAGGGTTGATGTCACTTATGGATTAAACATGTGGAAGACTGAATCCATCAACGATCAATAAAAACTCCTTTGTTTGCTCCGAGGTAAGATGCTAACGACGTTAGCTAGCTTAGCATGACAGTCGAATATAAATGATTCATAATTAATGTGTGACAAACATAAATCTGTCACCCAGGAGATCCTTGTTTGTACAACTTTGTCTCGTGACTTCAGTACTTCTGTAAAATTAGTTATTTTAACACATACTAATTATTTCCTAAACTCTGGTAGTTTTGTCGCCTGAACTTAACCAAGTATTTCATAATCTTTTCCTAATTGTGCTTCTAGTGAAGACACAAGCGTATTTAGTAAAAGTCTGTATGACTGAAATGTAAACGTTGCTGGTTTGCATCCCGA